TACTAGAGTAATTAAGATTTAGAATGTTTACAGAATAATAAATTATTATTAAAATTAATTAATTAGATCTTATTTTTCTCACTTTAGATACTTACTTTCAGAAAATTAATATTTAAAAACTATCTAATTAGAATATCTCAGATCTAGTAAGAATCTAGATAAGCTAAGATTTAGATACTTTTGATAAGTAATTAGTATAAACAAGATTATAATAGTTAATTAATAGACTGAAATACTGAGATTAATAGTTAGAAGATTAAAGACTTAACTAGAATTAAGTAGCTCTAATATTATTCTTAGTAAGAATTTCATTTATAAGTAAGCTAGTTACAGAAGCTAGCTGAGTAGCAGCTCTTTAGAGAAAATAATAATCTTTAAAGTCAGTCTGAGATAAACTCATTATATAACTGTGTCTGAAACCAGAATCAGAATATTTAATAGTTTTATTTTCAATTTAACTAATCTTATTATACAGTTTTAAAATTAAATAGTAGTCTTATACTGTTTCAGTGAGACTTACTATCTACTCTTATTATATTTTTTAAATAAGATTATAATTTTCACTTCTTAATTTAAATTATTTTTATTGCTTTAAATGACTTTAAATCTTATTTAAGTGTTATTAAAAAGTGTTACTTTTTAAAAAATTAAAAATAGTCTAAAAAAAACCTTAAATGTCTAAAATAGTCACTTATATAGATGAGACTAATAAGACTAAATAAGATTACTTTCTCATTTTTCTAGTAATGATTTCATTTAAGATCCTGATATATTAGTTACTTTGTTATGTTTTTTTTAATACCTAGTTCCAGCCGGGATCTTCATCCAGAATGGTATGGAACCAGGATAAATGAGGATAAATGGGATTCTTCGTGGATTAATGATTTATACAACCCTCCGATTACATCCTGGCGGGGAAAACCCAGGCATGTTGGATTCCAAACCCTGAGAGGAATCATTAAATCCGAAACTTAAGCCTCTCAAAATTCTAATTAATACAAAGGGGGACAAATTACTTCAACCAATTGCTCTTTTTTCCCGGAATGAGAAGGTATTGTTGCATGTAATTAATTGTCCCCTCCTTGTATTTTCTAAGTTTCCGGTATCCTGGCATGGTCTCAACCCCTGTTTTTCCTTCTGTATAATCAACACTTAGCCTGTATTTAACATCACACAAGGGCTCATCATAAACTTCGCTTGCATATAAGTATAATGAAAGAATGATAATAATAATAGTAATAAAGATTAAATATGAAATTCATAATCTCAGCAGCTAGTCTAGTCTGAGAGAACAGAGACAGCAGTCAGTTATATAGAATGTTAAAATATGTATATAGCTTAAGATGTAAACTGCAGAGATCTTGTTCTGTAAATCTTTTAATATTTTTATTTTTATTATAGTCTCTCTTTACTGTACTTTTTTCTTTCTTTTCTTTTCTATTCTTTTCTATCTATCTCTTCTTAAGACTCTACTTGAGACTCTGTTCTCTTTTCTTTTATCATGATATTTCTAAATAATTTCAAAGTATCAGAAGATGCTAAAATACTACAATTTATAAAGAGTTTTTATATTCTGAGCTGAAATTTTCTGATTTGCATATTTTAAATTGATAAATGTATAATAGTTAACTTTATAGATATTAGAAAAACTCTGAGAAGTAAAAGTTTTCAGGTAAATATTATAGTCTCTGACTGTATACATCTATAATTGAAGAATAATAATAATAATAATAATCTTCATGAAGATATTTCCTCATACTCAATTCTCTCAATATTTAATTAAGAAAATTGATGTAAAATATCACACTTCTATCAACTTTCACTCAATCAATCTGGATCACTGAAGAGAGTGATGATTAGACTTTCTTCTCTTTACTCTCCTCCTCTTCTCATAATGAGCTTGGGATCTGTAAACTCCCGTTTCTATTTTCTCCTCGTATCACTCAGGGAGAGGGGATTGCTATTTACGAAAACGCGTGAACCTAGTATATGTCTGAGTAATAAGAAGTTCCACTCCGCCTCCATCAGTAAGGGGCCCATTTAAGCAAGGGTCATAAACCTATTGCCAATTTATAAAATCTGGGGAAACATAACTTGGCTGGGGATACATCTGGAAAGGCGGGTAGAACAGCATGCTCAAGAGTGAGTGATTGAGCAGCACATTCTGTGAATCCTCTCCTTCCCTCCTTTTGCAATACCTTCATAGTTCCAATGTTGTTGAAACTTGAGTGACTGTTTTGAGAATGTTTGCAGGTACGGTAGGTTGAGGGTGAGCCAGGACCGTACATGGGAGTGAGAAATTTCCTTGGCCCTCGAACGAGCAATCTTTATTCAACGAAAAAACATATTGCAATTTTACACATACCTGCATGCTGAAGGTGAACACAAGGGAGCAAGCAGCTCTTTAGGTCACCGAATAACGATGATCCTCCTCCAGGTAATCCGCTGCATACATGTAATGTACTCGGAATTGCATATCAATGCATATCCGCGGCGGTATGATGCGTCATTCACACTTGTATAAGAGCGCTTGAAGATACGTAGCTTGCATCGAAGTATTTTCTCGGGCAGATACAGACATCTATTCGACGTCTTAGATGATTGGAACCGGCTCACCTACACGGAGCATACCGAGGGTTCTATGGAATGCTTGGAAGTGTCCCCCGTCTGCACAGTGATGTCATTAATAATGATTCATGCATGCACGGTATATCACTCGTCTCACAGTACTCCGTAGACTTATTCTATCTACATGCAGGGGCTACCCGGTAAACAGGATACCCCACACAACCATGAGTAGATTGACTCGATATATCGATTTCATGCTTTCTCAGATTTACCCTGTTCCCTAAATTGATGATGATGATGATGATGATGATGATGATGATGATGACGATTATTATTATTATTATTATTATGAAATCTCCACATAGTGTACAGTCACCATGCACGGGATCATGCACTGGATCATGCACCGGGACAGAAAATTTCGAACATCGAACAAACATGCGGCCAGGAGTAAGATAGGGCGACGATCGATTAATGACGCTAAAGAAAAGGCTGGGAAAGGGCGATATGGTCGTTCCAATGGTCAGCTGGGTTAACTTAGTGCAAGAGACTCGGGATGGGAGGGTCTGTGTGTCCACCATTTAGGCGCAATGAAAGTAGGAAACTGGTTCAAAATCACTCATTTCATTTCCTCCTGTCGTGAGTAGATTTTTACGAGTTCTCGTTTTTGCCATTTTTTCCCTTTCTTTTTATTTTTAATGTTGGATTGAACAGGATCTCCTTGAGTGTTTTTCTTTCCACTGCTCCTTTCGTTCTTCGATTCCTCCTCACATTTGAGATGGGACAAAAAAAGAAACATCGCAGATGAACAGAGGCTGACACCAGGAGAAAAACAAAACAGAAAATGTGGGCGCCTATCCTTTATCCCGGGTCTGCGCGACTGCACTAGTGGCTGTTCGAACTTGACGTTGGCTTCCAAATTGGTTAACTTTCTTGGATATCGCTGAGGGAGAAGGCGTCGGGAGGGGGCCTCAGGGACCACCAATCTCGAAGTCTATTTGGCTATAGACAGGGTGGAGGGGTCGCCAAGCCGAAACCGCATAACTATAGTATGGTAGTGAAAATGGCCATTGGCCACAAGAAGACTTTCGATACATCTCATATGGCTTAACCCGATTTGAGCAACGAATCTAGCCCCGGCACTCCGAGTAAATGAGGGCATAAACCTCCGCACCACGTTTTCCTCGGGGAATTGGACGGGGCTTCTGTGAAGAGAGATTGGTTCAATTCGAAATTCAAGCAGTCGACTCCGTATACTTGAAGGAGAAGGATTCCGTGCCAAACCAGCGTGGCTTTTTCAAATGGCGCCAACATCCAGGATACCGGTTTCTTTGGCGTAGAAGTGGTGCTCTTCTATGGCGATCATATAGGGTAATTCATGGTATGATAGCATTGATAGCCTCGATAGACAGGGAAATAATTTCTTTTTTTGAGACACTTGCAGCTATCACAATGGTGAATCAATCCAACAACCAGGGTTTGATAATTGATCATAGTGTAGGGGATAAAGTTTAGCCGCAACTATGGGCAAAACGAGATTTTTTGCATTTAGGATATCGTGGAGGGGAAGGGGGACGAGGGGGAGGGGGGGAGCTTTACTATCTCGTCTTTGAAGGACTTAGAGTACTGTTCATGTCCCTAAGCAGCGATCGAAGTAGAATAGCAAAAATGAGGAGTCGAATGACTCTACCCGTATCAGGATCAACAATCACAACCTTAGGCTATGCATGGTGGGGGCCACTGGCAGTCTCAATCAAACTTCATAAAAATCATACCGCTAAAAACTCCCTGAAAGAATGGAAACGCTTATACGAATATAAGGAAAATAGCGAATAGAGTCTGTTCAAGATATGCATCATTGCTGTGAATTGCAAACCCAGCCGATGCTGTGTTGGTTGACGTTGGCCGATGAATTAAAAAAAGAGCAGTCAGTTTGAGGATAGTTTGTCCGCGCCCAGACCCGCCAGCAACCGACGACAACAACAATATCATCATCGATGCTCGAACAAACCCCCAATCTAGCCCTTTCACGATCAGGAACCAGACACCACAACAACAACAACACCTTGCTTGTTCTTTTTGATTTTTTATCATCAAACTCTAAGAAGTTAATTACATACCATCACATCCCGTATTTTCATGATGTTCGCAACCAGGTGTTTCGCTGCCACTGCAATTCCCCGCGCCAGCCCCCCCGTTGCGCTCTTCCACAGCACACGGCCAGCCTTCGTCAAGGTTGGGGATGCAGTGCCGGACCTCGAAGTGTTGACCGAGAATTCACCCGGAAACAAGGTCAATTTGGCAAAGGAGCTCCAGGGGAAAGGTTTGATTATCGGAACTCCCGGTGCATTTAGTAAGTACACCTCCTATTTGCTTCATTGGTTTGTTTCACACGCCATCTAAATATCTGATTCAAGATTGAAATTTCTGAAAATCTTTTTCATTTGATTGGAGATTAAAAACCCTACCTCCCTTTCCTCCACTAGTCTTCTACATTTCCCTCTCAACTGGAGTTTTGTCTAATGAATATATCGTATAGGCCCCGCATGTTCCGCCGCACATGTTCCCGGCTTCGCCAATCACCCGAACCTGAAGGATGCGGGTAAGGTGTTCGTGGTCTCCGTCAATGACGCATTTGTGTAAGCAGTCATATTCCCACAGCACTTCAACGTTGTCGACGGATTGGAAGCTATCTCTCCACAAACTTCCCCCTCGAACTCTCTTTACATGGATAACTAACGTTTGGCTGCTGTGTGATACAGAACGGGTGCATGGTCTAAGATGGTCGACCCAGAGCAGAAGAGCGGGGTATGTAACATGTTCCAAATCGCTGCATATGTGCCCTTTTTTTACATGTTTTTTTTAAATCGTTTAACTATATCTGACTAGACGAACTCTACTGACATGTTGTAGATCCGATTCCTTGGAGATCCAAAGGGAGAATTCACAAAGGCCCTGGATCTAGACTTTGATGCAAGCGCTATTTTCGGGAACCTCAGGAGCAAGCGGTATGTTTTGGTGATTGAGGACGGGAAGGTTAAGAAGACTTTTATCGAACCGGATAACACTGGCCTTAATGGTAAGGAAAAAAGCAAAAAGCATATCTCAATCTTTCCCCGAATTTTTAAAAACAGAAGAAGTAGTATGCTAAGATCAAACTCTCGCCGTAGTGTCGAAAGCGGAGAATGTGTTGGGATAGAGAGGAGTGACAAGACTTTTGAACTTTTTATGACGGATTCCCGTTCTATTATCTAAGGAAATACGGGTGCATGTACCATAATGAAGAGTAGCGCTTATATATTTAAACAAAATACGCATTTCAATAACTAACCTAGAAAATGCAAATATTCTCCTCTCAATTTGCAAAGCTCCCGTCCGATCCCCCGCGTGTCGGTCATGGTGGCAAGGAAAAATAATTCAAAACGCCGGAACCCATGTGTATCATAGTAAAACAAGAACATGAATAAAAACTAACGAGGAGGCGGACGGGGAGGGTAAATGGTTATCCCAAAGTAGTTCGCCCTTCCAATCTTCCATAGTACACCTGTGTCCGCATATGTGACACCAATCCTTGCTCGAGATGTGCATCCAGATATATATTTCTCTCTCTAAAATGAACCCCCGCCCGAACTAAGACTGCTGTTCCTTCAGTACGTTCTCCCACTGTTCCGGTGTGTAGCATTTGGGCGTCCAGGCATGGATAGCCGCAATTTCCGCCTTAAGCGCGGAATTGACGAGCCGGTGTCTTGCGAGCGTGGTTTTCTTATCGAATTGCGGGGAAACTATGATTGCTTGGAAAGCCTGGCCGCAGCCTCCTATATGTAGCGGAAAATCGCGGTTAGTTTCTTAGTATATATATATATATCCAGCCGGTGATTATTGTAGATGCGGTGAGAGAGCGGAAGGGAGAGGGAGGGTCAGAGAGGGGTTTTAGTTTTTGATTTAAAGAAGCTCTGATCGTACCAGACATATCTTCAATTTCCACATGCTGAGCGTCTAGCTTGGCGATCAGTGTGTCTTTGAGAGATGCTACAGTGACGCCCGATGTATTTGCCGTATCTGCCATGGCGGCGTTGACAGCGCTGTGGGCGCTTGCTGTGAAGTGGAACGGTCTCTGGTGACGGAGGATATGGAGGCAGCTTCTGCTAAATGCGGTCCGGCGGAGGAACATATATGATTGTAGGAAACGAAAGATTTAATCAGAAGTATTACAACAAAACAAGAAGGGAGAGGACAAAGGTAGGATGTAATTGGAGATAACTACGTCGATATATATTTCTTATTTTTTCATTCTTTGTTGCTACGAATTGTTGCCGACCAAATAATTCCTGCTCCGACTAACGTAATCAACCACCTAACGCTCGTTTCCACCTAATGCTCGCCTTTGTAAATCAATTACAATCAACTTCAAATATTCATATCTCAATGAATATTTATTTAAAACTATGTTAAAAAACAGAATGATAATTTGTAGATATATATTATATTATATTAAATTTCTATGAGAAAATAACATATAATTATTAATTTATTAAGCTTTTTAAAATACTATTTTAAAATAAAATACACAGTCTATATTTATAAATATATTTATAAATATAAATTATTTTCACATGAAAATTAAATATCTTATAGATTATATATATTTTTAATAAAATATAAAATTTTATCTTCAAATTCTTATTTATTATTAATTTATTTAAATTTTTATATAAAATTTTATATTTTAAAATACTATTTTTGTAATAACTATGTCTTATTTATACTTTAAAATTATAATTTAAATAAATTATTATATCAAATCATTTAAATATATTTATATTTAATAAATTATTTTTCAAAATTTAAAATTTCAAGAATTTTCAAAATTTCACTTATAGTTTATAAAAAAAAATTATAATAAAAAAATAAAGAAATTCTTAAAAATTAAAATATAGAATTCTTATATAAAATAATTTAATATTTATTAAATTATAATATATTTATATAAGAATTATTATTTTTAATAATATATAATATATATTTGTAATAAGCTATATCTGATTAATTATATAGACTATTTTATTACACTTCATAGATTTCTGCTAAAAGCTCTGATTCTCAGTCACTAATTCTCTGTCAAAGAACTTATGAAATTTCTATTCTTCTATCTTAAAGCTTTATCTTATATGCATATAAATATTTACTCTGATTACTGATTTCTACACTTTCTCTTTTCTTTTTCTTCTCTAACATTTTTCACTTTTATTATATAAGATCTGTATATTATACTGATCTATTTAGTGTAGACCTTTTACACTTGAAAAATATTTATTATCTTCTTATTAAAAATGATTACTTATTGAGATATCTGAACATGTAACAATATATAAGAAATAAAGAAATAAATAATCAGTTAAGTGAATACTAAGTCTCTAAATAGAAGCTTACTTATTAGTTACTCTGACTCTGTAATAAGAACTTATAAAGAGAATATCAGTGAAAGATCTGAGAGTTCTGACATCTTAGATATATAAGATATTCATATAATTACACTTCTTCTCATTTTATAAATATTATATATCTGATGTATAATATAGCTATGACTACTGATAATATAAGAGTATGATGAGCTGCGCCCGATCAATTATATAAACTATTTCATTACACTTCACAGATTTGAACCACTTCATTCTTGAACATGTACACTCTGATTCTCAGTCATTCTCAATCACTGATTCTCAGCTGCTATTAATATGTATAGATTCTTCCACTCTGAAGCTTCATTACATACATCATCACATATATGTATAAATATTCACTTTAATCACTGATTCTCATACTTTCTCTTTCTTTTTCTTCTCTAACATTTTTCTCTTTATTATATAAGATCTATCAATATCATACTAATCTATTCAGTGTAGGCCTCTTATACTAGAGAAACATTCATCATCTTCTTATTAGAAATGATTATTCATATATCATCTTCTCATTAGAAATAATTATTCATTGAGAGATATTCAAACACATAATAACATGTAAGAAAGAGAAACATAGTTAAGTAAACACTGAGTTCTTAGATAGAAGCTTGCTTATCAGTCACTCTAACTCTGTAATAAGATCTTATAAGATAATATCAGTGAAAGATCTAAGAGTTCTGATACTTAGATATATGAGATATTCATATAATTACACTTCTTCAAGATTTCACAGATATTATACACTCAATGAACAACATGTCTAATGATAATATAAGAGAACTCTTGAATATGAGTATAGAAGTGATATTACAGTGACTCTGAGCAATGTTGAAATTATAACAGTAATAAATAGCTGATATGTATGCAACTTAACAACATTAATATGAAGAGATTCAACAATTATTATAACAAGAAACTCATGCAATTTCAACATCTACAGAATTGAGTATAAAAGCACTGAAAGAATGCTTAGATACTCTCATATATTTTAATACTTCTGATCTCACTCTCTACTCATCATGGAGAATGAAAATACTCATAAAACTGAGTGTGAATAAAGATGTCATCAGTTCACTGATTAATCAAGATTGATATATCAATAAATAATTGAAGAATTGTGTGAAACAGAAGTTTCATTCATGAATAAAAGCATGTGAATCAGCATTGTGAATGTCTGATAATATCATCAAATATCTTGATATTCTGTTTCAAGACACTGCCATGCAACAGAAAGTGTTAGATTGATTATAGAGTACTTAACAGAGAAACACTTCTCTCACAACATTTATTCCTGACTTTGACACTAAGATTCTAGAAGCAGGTGATCAATCTTGAAAGAATTGAATGAAGATTATCATACTCAAGAAGACATTAACTCTCAAACTCTTACAGGCTCTTGTAAGTGTAGATGAAGACCAGACTTATAAAGATTTCTGCATACAACTTCAGACATTGAATGACTGTCTTATCGAGCTCAAGAGTATACAGAACAGTGATAGAACATGTTATACTTATACATCTGTGTCAAAGATTAACAATGATGCAGATGCTATGAATTGAGTAGACTCAAATATTTATATATAAGCAAGAGTTTCCACTGTTCAAACAGATTTTCAAGTTTCTGAGATCACTTCTGAAGAAGTCACTGATCAATGTTAATGTAAAGTATACATCAACTGTAACTGATCAGAACACATTGCTTTCAACTGTTAATTAATCTATATGTCTTCTCAATCAAGAGAAAGATCAGTGTCTTCTTATTCAAAGAATGAATCAGTGTCTGTCCGTGTCAACCACATTGCAGTGAAGAAAGATTCAGAAGATAACTACAAAGATATCTCAGTGAAACAGAGAAAAGATTAACTTCTGTTCAAATTTATACACAGAAGCTTGAAGAGATCAGATAACAATGATTTGAAGAGAAAATAACAATGAATGCAATTCTTGTATCTACTGTAATTAATAACATGTATAATATGAAAGCTATGATAGACAGTGGTCTATTTCACTATACAATGATTAAATCTTCAGTCATAAGATATTATAATCTTCAGCATATTCTCTTATCAAAACCCTGACTTCTTGCAGAATTTAATGATTCAAAAGATGTTTGCACCTGTTATATAATGAATCTAAACATAGATATCAGAGAATATCAGTGTGAAGACATCTATATATATGAAGTTGATAATCTTGATTATAATCTTATATTAGAACTTGCCTGACTATCTGAACAAGGCATCTTGTTAAACACTTAAAACAGGAGTTTAATATTCCCTAACAATGATAGAGTTCATGAGAATGACATTTACAAGACTATGAATCTGACACAGATTTCTGTCAACATCTATAAAATGCTTAGAAAAAGAAGTCACTGAAAGAATCACTGATAGCAGAACTATGTATCAATCTATTTCACCAGTCTGATCAATATTAAAAAGGCTCTAGAAAAGTTATCCTGTGTTATAATAACAGATTCTCATACAAAACTTTCTCAATAATATCATGAATATCTAGATGTCTTCTGACAAGATAATAATGCTACAAATCTATATCTCTTATAAGGTTCAGAAGTGAACCACAGTATTAAGTTGAAAAAGAAGAATGATAAGAACTCTAAATCATTATAAGATTCTCTTTATAACATATCTCAAGATGAACTTCTTCTTCTTCAAAAGACACTCAATGATCTGTTGAATAAAGAATTCATACATGTTAGTAACTCTTTCACTGCAGTCTCTATTCTCTTTGCAAAGAAATCAGGTGAAGAACTTCAGTTCTGTGTGAATTATCAAGAATTGAACAGATTAATAAAGAAGGACTGTTATTCTTTATCTCTTATCAATAAAACTCTAGCTCACATTGAACAAGCTCAATAGTTTACAAAGTTAGATATTATCACTGTGTTTCATAAGATCTGCATTGCTGAAGAAGATGAGTGACTTACAGCATTTTGAACATAATATAGTCTCTTTGAATGAGTAGTCACACTCTTTGAACTGACTAATATCTTCAGTATATTTCAGAAGTATGTTAACTGAGCACTTCAAGATTTCCTTGATAAATTCACATCTGTATATCTTGATGACATTCTCATCTTCACTAATGAATTCAGAAAAGAATACTAAGAACATGTGTGAAAGATATTACAACAGCTACAGAAAGCAGAACTGTCAATAGATATAGACAAGTATGATTTTAAAATTAAAAGTATAAAATATCTAGACTTTATCATAGAAGCTGATAAGAGAATCTGAATGAATTCTGAGAAGGTCTCTACTATTCTTGAATGAGAGGCTCTGTACACTGTGAAAGATGTATAAAGCTTTATCAGATTCACTAACTTCTATCAGTGATTTATATGAAACTTCTCAGATATCACAAGATCACTTATAGAACTTATTAAGAAGAACTCAGTATTTCAATGATCAGCAGATACTGAAGCTGTATTTACACAGATGAAGAAGATGTTTATTAATATCTCTCTACTAATAATATTTAATTCTGATCACAAGACAGTTGTTGAAGCTGATTTCTCTTATTATATCACAGAAGAAGCTATATTGTAATATGATAATGAAGATGTCTTACAATCATACATCTTCATATTTAAGAAACTGAGTTCTGCTGAATGCAATTACAAGATCTATGATAAGAAACTTCTTATAATCATATACTATCTAGAAGAATGAGACTCTGAACTTCCAAGTGTCTTCAAATTTGAGATAATCACAGATTATAAGAATCTCAAATACTTCATAACTATCTGTAAACTCACTGAATGACAGATATGATGATCTGAGTTTCTAAGCCACTTTCATTTTACAATACACTATCACTCTGACAGCCAGAACTCAATGACAGATGCACTCTTGTGATGAGAACAAGATATGCTGTCTGATGTGACAGACATGCACTGAATGAATTGAGAACATTAGCTCTTGAACTCAAAGATATTAGTTAATCATGATGAGACCACTTATAACACTATACACACTTCTCTGATTAGAACATTCTCTCTCTGAACTGACACTGATATCTTCACTTCTTCTACACTAAATAAACTGTGATATACAGCAGCTCAGACTGATGAACTTCTTCAAACTCTCACTGAAGCAGTATAATAAGAAGCATCTCAATTCTCTTCAGAATTACATACAAAGACTGATATCTTAAAATGTTCAATAGATGACAGTAATGCTCTGTGATTCTGTAAATGATGCTGAGTCTCTTACTCTGAACTCTTACACACCTGAATAATGCAAGAGATGCATGATTCATATATAACTGATTATTCAGACTGTGAATAACTGTATTGAATGATCTCTCAAGAATTCTACTAATCTGAAATATTAAATAGCATCAGACATTTTGTCTGAAACTGCAACTATTGTTCTTTCATCATCTCATAAAAGAACTGTAGAAAAGGCCTGCTGAAATCACTCAATATCTCTGATAGAATCTGATGAAATGTGATAATTGACTTCACTATTAATCTCTCTGAGAGTAAGAGTTGTAGAAACATTCTGATCATTGTGAATTGATTGAGTAAAGATGTAATATTGAAACCTTGTAATAAGATAAATACTGAACAAGTCACTGAAGCTTTTTTACAGAGTCTGTTCTATTGAATGCATGAATTACTGAGATCTATAGTATTGAATCAGAGTCATTAATTTATGAGTACTCTCTGAACAAGAATCTGTCAAGTTCTCAAGATTATATACTATCTATCAACTGTCTATCACTCTGAGACTGATAATGCATCAGAATAGATAATTCAGACTGTAAAGAATTATCTCTATAAGTTCTATAATCACTTATAAGATGATTGATATAACCTGCTTCTACACACAGAGGTTGCTATCAATGAATAAGATGTTATTTCAACAGACATAAGTCTGTTCTTTCTTACACACAGTTATTATATGAAGATATTAAATCTTCTAGAGACTACACAGTTCACACTGAATCTCTGCAGTCTGATTCAGAACACTGATAATAAAGTAACAAAGCTCTGAGATATCTGTAACTGAGCAGAGGTCTTCATGACAACTGTGAAACAAGATTAAGAGAATCAAATCAATATTCATCAAGACTTCACTGAACAATATAAGATAGAAGACTTAGTGTGATTAAATCTTAAGAATATACAGATCACATGTTCATCTTGTACACTGAATTACTGTCATATTAAGTATAAAGTGATAGAAGTTCTAGATAGTCATAACTACTGTCTTAACATATTATCAGAGATTTATAATGTCTTTTACACAAGCTTGCTCTGTCACACTGTCACTGACTCATTCTCTTCTTAACTGACTTTCAACTTGCAGTCACCAGGCATCAGAGAAGAAGATAATGAGCTTGAGTGAGAGATTGAGAATATTCTTGATAAGAGATCTCACAGCTGCAGCTGACAATATCTCATGAAATAGTTTAAGTATAATTGCCTGATCTGAACTCTGAGTTTTATATTATCTGAAACAGTGACTCTTGACTGATGAGAACTGCTTCTGAAAAGAGAGGGCTAATGTGACAGACTGTGTCTGATCAATTATATAGACTATTTCATTACACTTCACAGATTTCAACTGCTTCATTCTCAAATGCATACACTTCAATTCTCAGCCATTCTCAATCATCAATTCTCAGCTGCTACTACGGTCCGTCGCCTGTGTATCTAGACTTCAACACCAAGTCTCACCCTTGTACTACCCCTCTCAATCTGGCCCATCCCCAGCAGAACGATACAAAAAGATACCTCGGCAACAGCATTCAATACATAATCAGTGGACAACGAGTCAACAGCACATCAACAACTATAAAATCAGTATACCCCAAGGTCTGACTGAGCCTTTGATCCCTGCACAGTGAGATATATTAAATCTAGTTTTAATACCTCAATATTCAATAGATTCTGCAAGGGATTGAGAACAGCAACACTAGGTTTCTATTGAATTTGAGAATTAACTCTATATTGATATAATCATTGACAAAGTCTTCTATTTTGAGATATAAATAACCAGTTCCTCTACATCCCGCTGACAATATTTACATTATTATATAGAAACAGACTTATATTCTCTATAATATCAAGACTCTGAAGAGGGAAAGTCTTGATAGAGAGTATACAGTAGTGCATAGACTGACCGTGTGACCGTGTCTAAGACCAGGACCAGATTTTTTGATAGTCTCATTACCAATTCGACTTCTCTTGAAAAAGTAAGGTGTTTTTCTCTGGGTTTTACACAATATTCTTACAAAGAATTAAAAACAGAGTTGTTTTCTGAATGAGACCATGATTTCCACTTCTCAATTTAAATTATTTTTAGTGCTTTAAATGACTTTAAATCTCATTTGAGCATTATCAAAAAGCATTACTTTTTAAAAAATTAAAAATAGTCTAAAAAAAACCTTAAAATGTCTAAAAATAGTAACTTTATGCCAAGAATGGGACTAAATGAGATCAAATGAGATCACTTTCTCATTTTTTTCAAGTCATGGTTCCATTTTAAGATCTGATATATAGTCACTTTACATGTTTTTTTGATAGTCAGTCCCAGCGGGATTCACGCCAAGAAATGTATGGGACCAGACCAAATGAAACCAAATGTGAAATTCATGGTCCCAGCGACCAGTCTAGTAGTGCATATCTTAGCAGTTTCTATCTCATTCTTCTGCAGCAGTTAATGCAAAAAAAAAAAGATCTTAGAAATAGTTTTTTACTTCTCTTGAAAAAGTAAGGTGTTTTTCTCTGAGTTTTATACAATATTCTTACAAAGAATTAAAAACAGAGTTGTTTTCTGTCATAATTTCATATTCTTTTAAGTAAGAATTACTTTTTCAGTGGCTGAAGAGCTTTCATTAATACTTAATTCTCTTTTATACTCTTTATTGACTGATTTGAGTTGCACACTTGTTGTGTGAGGAGAATTGGATGATTTAGAATAAAATTGAATAGTTTTAATCAATTTCTCTGCAAAAAATTGACTTATTTTTTGTCAGTTTTTCTCTCAAAAACTGTCATATCATCTGATTTATTATCAATTGATATCATACTTTTCCTCACTGTATCCCAAGAAAGAGTTTGTAAAGATTTTATTGATTTATCTTAAAAATCACTTTTAGTTTATTAGATTCTCTTCAAAAATCTAACCTAGTTACTGAACTAGTGTGAAAAAAAAATCAGGTGTTTTATACACAAAAGTCTTTCATTCTTCTTTTGAAACAGTCTGACCAACTTTTCAATTGAAAATAGACTAATAAATCTCTCAACTGAAACAGTCTGATCAACTTTTCATTTGAAAATAGATTAATAAACCTCTCAATTGAAACAGTCTGACCAACTTTTCATTTGAAAATATACTGATAAATCTCTCAATTGAAACAGTCTGACCAACTTTTCATTCAGTGAGTAAAATGAGTTCAAGAGTACACTCAGTTGATGTGGAAAAAGATGTTTTCCCAGATGCCATTCCTGAGATTGAAATTCTAAAGAGAAGAAAGAAGGAAGAAATAGAGAAACAACAAGTTCTTGAAATACAGGAACTGGAAAAAGCAAGCAAAATTCTTGGAAAACAGTGTCTTAGTGAGGAGAATGAAGAAGTTCTGTTAATTCTTCATACTCAGGCTAGACAACTACAAGAAGTGATCAAGTTCAAACTTGGAATTTCAAACACAATTCAAAAAACATTGAAATCTTCCAGTACAGTCACTGACTCTTTTTCATCTTCTACTTCTTCATCTTCTTCTTCAAATCAGAAGAAAACATATGCTCAAGTAGCAGAATCTGCTGTCTTCAAACCTGCTAGTTCAAAATCTGCTCAAAATTCTGAGAAATCTGAGAAGAATATTTCTCAGACCTCTGTTCATAGAAAGGAAAAAAAAGAAATGCAAAAAGAGAAGAACTTTCAAATCTCCAGAAACAGAAGACTTATTCTCAAAGTCTCAAATCAGGAGAGCTTGCAAAAAAACAAGCTAAACTCAAATCTCATTTTCAGAATTAGAAATGAAATTAACCAGCAGTTCTTTTCTCAGTTAATGACTGATATTGAAGTTCAAAAACCAGTCATAGCTTCAATTGAGCCATCTTTCTTTGGAAACTCTATTATTTTGACTACAATGCCTGAATTCAGTGCAGAATTCCTCATTCAGAATGAGAATCTCTGAAAATCAGCAATAGAATCTCTACTGAATACAACAATTCTATCTGAAAGTGATGAAAAGTGGGACAAATTCATTCTTCATGATATTCCAGTTGAAATTTTTGACTGTGAGAAAGGAATGCTGCTTCTCAAAAATGAATTAGAAGAATACAATTCTATTTAACTGAGAAAAGAGCCTGTATGACTTAATTCAATTGAGTTCAGACAGAGCAGAAGAAATGCCTCTGTTCTAGTATATACAAAGACACTTGAACAATCAAGAATCTCTGAAGTAAGAGTAGCAGGTTTGAAAATGAGAGTTCATGAATACAAAGATTCAAGAATGAATCTCAAAGCTCAAACACAGTGTTCAAACTGTCAAAGATATGAACACTTTGCAATCTCTTATTTCAGAGACTCAAAATGCACATTCTGTGCTAGAGATCACAAAACTAGTGAGCATAAATGTGAAACATGCTCAAAAAGAGGTGAAATATGTCAACATACTCTGCTTAAGTGCTCCAATTGCAAAGAAAAACATGCATCTAGCTCAAAAGAATGTGTATTTGCTCCAAGAACTCAGAAGAACTGGAGAAAAGATGAAGCTCAAAGTGAATCTAAAACTGAAGAGAAAAGTCAAGCTAGTAAATCCACAACTGCAAGCTTAAAAAGAAGAAACTCTCAACTATCTAGATCTTCAAACTCCAATTCTTCAGCTAAATGTAAACAGAATTTGAATCCTCAAACACCTGTTAAGATTAGAGAATTGAGAAATGACTCTGATAATAAACTAGATAGAATGCAAGCAGTTGAGATTCCCGCTTTTCAAAATAGTTATAATCTACTATCTGGTGATAGTGATTAGATTCTACTATATCTTCACTCTCTTTTAGTATGAATATACAACAAAAACAACAAAAAAAGTTTAAAAACTCTTCAAAAGTCACATTTATTCAAAATAATGTGGATAGAAACTCAAATTGTATTTATTCTTGTCTTCAGATTGTATTTGAACAAAAAGTTGACTTTGTACTTCTTCAAGAACCAAATTTTGATACTGAGCAAAAGTACAGCATTTCTCATCCAAGCTATTACTGCTTTCTTCCTGAAAAATCTGAGATAAAATCAAGAGTAGCAATCTATGGGAGAAAAAGATCAAGATATCAATTTAATCTGAGATTTGATATCATATCTGACTCTGACATTCTAGTGGGTGACATTATAGATAAAGATAATGAGTTTGATACTATTCAACTTATAAATATCTATAATGAAAAATCATTGAAAGAAAACAACAATACCTGGACAATTGATAGAGGATTTTTGAATATAACTCCCTTAAAAAACTCTATAATTGCAGAAGACTTCAATGCACATCATCTCTGATGGAACTCAGAGTGCACAAGAGCAGTAAGAGCGGATAAACTGGTTGAATGAACTTTTAAGCATTCAATAGATTTAGTTAACAAGTCTGATCAACAAACATTCTTTAGAAAAGGCATGAAACAGAAATCTATTATAGATCTAACTTTCATGTCACAAAATCTAATTGAAAAAAGACTTATAAACTGGTTTATTGATTCAAATGAAACCTCAGGATCGGGTTATGAGATCATTCAATTTGATATTGAACTGAGTGAAAAACAAAGAAGTGAAAATCCTCTTCTCTCTAATCAGTATAACTTTGAAAAAGCTGATTGAAAAGCAGTTGAAGAAAGAGTAAAACAGCTGAAATCTGTAAGACAGAATGAGCTCTATTGAAATCAAAGTCAAGATATATCAAATGAAATACTTGAGAATAGAGCAAAGCTGATTACATCTATTCTTCTAACAAGTATTGAAGAAAATATTCCAAAGAAAAAGTCTTCTGAGTATTTCAAACCTTGGTGAAATGAGAATATCACTTCTAAAAGAAAGCAATTAGCCACTGCTAAGAGAGATTGAAAGAATCACTTAATATCTGATGAAGAGTTCAAAGCTATTCAAAATGAATATTTTTCAGATATTAAAAAAGCCAAAACAGATTGCTGGAACAAATTTCTTAAAGAAGCACAAGGAAAAGAAGTTTTCAAAGCCTTCAACTATACTAAAACAAGAAGTGTAGCAAAGCTTCCAACCTTAGAATATGAATTTCAGAATGAATTATATACAGCAAATTCTTTTGAGGAAAAATGTCAAGCTTTTATGAGAATTCTCTTTCAAAACTCATCATCACATTTAGAAGAGGAGAATATGTCATTTCATGAATATATTGATGAAAATAACTGGGAATGGCCTGAGCTTACATATGATGAACTAGAGTCAGCAATATTCTCAAGTTCAATTAAACTGCTGCAGGGCCTGATTCAATTAATCACTCAATTATTCAAAACACATATTCCTACTTGAAGAATGAATATTTTGAGCTCTTTTTCAATCTCTTAAAAAATGGTTATCATTCTGAATGCTGGAGAGAAGCTACTGGAGTAATCCTTGCAAAACCTAATAGAAAGACTTCAATTTCTAAGTCATATAGAGTAATATCTCTGTTGAACTATTTGAGAAAAATTCTAGAAAAGATAATAGCTACTAGATTATCTTTTATAAGCTCTATTAGTGATTCTCTTCTATTTAATGAACAAATGAGAGGTAGAAAACAATGTTCTGCAATTGATACTGTTCTCTCAGTTGTTCATGATGTTCAAGTAGCAAAGCATGAAGGCCTGGTCTCAACTGCAGTTTTTATTGATATAAAAGGTGCATTTGATCATGTGTCAAAGTCTAAGATGATTCAAACTTTGAAGATGTTAAAACTGCCACTTTCTCTAATAAAATGAGTCAATTGTTTCATGTCTAAAAGAATTATACAACTATTCTTTGATGGAAGAAAACAAGATAAAACTGAGATAAAAATAGAAGTATCACAAGAATCTCCAATCTCACCTGTTTTATTTGCAATATACACTGCATATCCATTCAAGAATAGAGAGATGAAAATAGTGAGATCTTCAAGTTATATAGATGATATTGGTCTACTCTACAGTTCAAAGACAATCAAAGAGAACTTAGAAGTGATTGAGAAAGCAGCAAAGAAAATCTTTGTTAGAGCAGATATTAATCTAATTCAATTTGATATGAATAAAACTGAGTTAATTCACTTTTTTCCCAGATTTAATGAGAAAGAACTAAGTCTAACTCTTTTGAATAAAGAGATTAAACCCGGTTTAAATGTTAAATAGCTAGGAGTATGGTTAAACTTCAAGCTGAATTTTAAATATCATATTCAACAAAGAATTATCAAGACAGAGAGACTACTGAATAGTATAATCAGACTATCAAATACTGAGAGAGGTCTATCCTTTCAGGCTATGAGACAGTTATACATAGCCTGTATTACCTCAGTAGCTGATTATAGAGTTCAAGTTTGATGAAACAATCAAGGAAACTTCACTGAACTCTTTCAAAGTCTACAAAACAGAGCTTTGAGAAGAATTCTGAGTGCATTCAAGTCATCTCCTATTAAAGCAATGGAAATTGAAGCTTCAATTCCACCTCCTGCTATTCAATTTGAAAAGGCCTGTATAAACTATGCTCTGAGAGTCATGAAGATGAGCTCAAATCATATAATCAGAGAAAGAGTCTCTTCTTCATTTTCATCAGTTAACTCAGGAAATGAACTGGATTGAAATAGATTTCTTGATTGAAATGAGAATAATACTTTAAAGAAAATGCCCTCTCAACTGTATAGACTATGTTCACTTATTAAGAATCAATTTTCTTCATTAAATGTTGAGAAAATTGATCATGAGAAGATATCTCTCTGGAGAGAAAAGCTGGAATCTCTCATAGACTTACAAATAAGTGAACTATCTAAAGAGAGAGAATATGAACAGCATTTGAAGAAGATCTCTACAATTAATATAAAAGACTCTATTCTGATCTACTCAGATGGCTCAAAAAATGAGAATTTGAATAGATTAGGCGCAGGCATTGCTTATACTGAAGATAATATTAATATTATCTCAGATTTCTGGAATTTAGGCTGTGAATCTGAAGTCTTTGATGCTGAACTATTTGCAATAGTGAAAGCTTTCAAACTCATTGAAATAAAGTCTTATAAAAGAGGAAATGATTTGAAAGAGATATGAATATTCTCTGATAGTCAAGCTGCTTTAAAAAGACTTAGAAATAGTCAGATTCATATTGATCAAATGAATCTTGAACTGATTTTAAACTCTGTTTTGAAAATTCAAAAGAGAAGAATATCAAAACTGATAATTCATCTGCATTGGGTTCCTGCTCATATGAATATTCATGGCAATGAATTGGCTGATTCAGCTGCGAAAAAGGGTTCAGAATTAAGCAGATCTATTCAAAAAACAGTGTCCTGATCTTTCATAAAGAGAAAGATAAAAGAATCTTGTTTAAACAAGTGAAATGAAAGCTGGCAGAAACAAAAGAAGAGTATACATTATTCAAGATTTGAGACAAAATCAAAGTGGAAATCTTGTTCAATTAAATGTAAAAAGAAAATATTCTCATCTATAATTCAGCTGAAACTAGGACATGATTATTTCAAATCTTATATACAAAGATTTGATGATAGATTTGATTCAACAGCGTGCTCATTCTGCAATGTGAATGAAAATCCTGAGCATATTGTAATGCATTGTGCATTATACAATAGTCTCAGAGTCAGATTAAAGAAGAAGTATGATTTAAATCAATTAAATATGAGGTTCTTATTCTCAACTAAGACAGGAACTAAATACTTAATAGACTTTCTATCAGAAACTAGAGCAGCTACAAGAAAATGGCTGAATTCAGAAGTATCTGAATATGAAGAGGTGAAAATTGACTAGATATAGTCTGTTAAAACAGCTATATATCATCTTTTAATAATTTTGTTTTGTTATAGTCTCTCTTTACTGTACTTGTTTCCTTCTGTTCTTTTCTCTATCTATTTAATGTGTCTATCTTTAAGACTATGTTCTCTTTTCTTTTGTCATAATATTTTCAAATGGTTTCAAACTATCAGAAGGTGTT